AATAATAGAAATAATAAAACACTTAGAACCTGCATCTGGTATGATTATTGTGCATTGATTAATTTGACCATCGATGGTATGGCAGACGTTTATATCGTTCCGTCTTGCATTTAGGTACGACAAGAATTCCACCATTGGTTCTTAAGGTTAATTTTCGCAAGGAGGGAGCATGTCAGGATGCAATGGCGATTTCAAAAGTCCATTAACAAAAGAGAGGACTCAGGACAAGACTTTCCCTCCTTGACGCAAGCCCTGTCTCTTATACACATCTATACAGTCATAGTTATCCATCAATGATGGAACACATTTAATCTCTCCGTGGTCGTTCGAAAGTTTCTTGTGATGGGTATTTCTATGTCAAACACAAGGTGCTAACGAATGGGACTATCACAATGAATGTGAACAACTTAGACGAGGGCTGTGGAACGCCAAAATAAGATTATAAGATGGGGAAGTTGTCTTTAGGATAAAGGAGCACAATCATGCACCTGACGGTTCTAGGAAAGAAATAATAATAATAATAATAATAATAATAATAATAATAATAATAATAATAATAATAATAAAATAATAATCCATAATAATCTTATATTTCTCGTTGTAGATTGTATGTTTGTGTTTTTTTCACTGATTTCTTGGTTTATTTTTATAACTTATAAGAATCACTTTTATGACTGATTTGTTATTAAAATTGAGGATTTAAATGGGAAGTGTGAAGTGGGGGCAGGCTGGGGGAGGTGTAGAAGCGTATCGGTAGAAGTACATTGCAAGAAAAAGTTAATTAGAATGATTTAGTATTATACCACTTATTTTTTATTATTTTAGGGCCTACCCTTTAATATGTAAACTAATGTTTTGGTAGATTAGGTGTGAGGTTGTATTAACCTTCATGTATGCTTCTTCGTTTCGTTTTCCTCTAGGTAGACTACTGATTTTTTTTTTTTTTTTTTTTTTTTTTTTTTTTTTTTTTTTTTTTTTTTTTTTTTTTTTTTTTTGTTCCTTTGTTGTATTTGTTCGATTATTCGGATGCACTGTTCACTTTAAACGAGTGCCACCAATCTGAAGTGTATCCTAATAAATAAATAAATAACAACCAACCTAGAACACTAAATAATGCACTGCCATACACATAGCATACTAAGACCGTTATACCAGGGATTAAATTACTGTTTTATTTAACTGTTTCCTGGTTATAGACAGTATAATATATACCTCACACACATTTCATAACAACCATTTTTAGAATGGTATGGCCCAGATGACACTCTTTGGTCAACTTGATCTGTTAATCAATCTATTTGTTACATAACGATTACAGTATTTTAGAAAACAATTTAACTTCTCTGACAACTGAATCATATTTTTTAAAAAAATAGGAAATAGTAAATGAATCAATAT